GCACTCCAGCCTGGGCAACACAGTGAGATCCTGTCTCCAAAACAAACAAAAAACAAATATGGTCTAGGTGAAGGAGCACACAGTCAGGAGTCAGTACGCCTTGGTTCTCCACTGGGGTACTGCAATGGTACTAACCACTGCAATCTTGGCACATCCCTAACACTCCTGAGCCTCACTCTCTAACCTTGACAAAAAAGAAGGTAGACTCTCGGGTTTAGAATGGGTCTCTCTATTCATAAAGACTCTAATTCTTGGCAGGGCATGGTGGCTCACACATGTAATCCCAGCACTTTGGGAGGCAGAGGCAGGTGGATCACTTGAGGTCAGGAGTTCACGACCAGCCTGGCCAACATGGTGAAACCCTGTCTCTTCTAAAAACACAAAAATTAGCCAGGCATGGTGTCACACTCCTATAATCTCAGCTACTCAGGAGGCTTAGGCAGGAGAATCGCCTGAATCTGGGAGGCGGAGGTTTCAGTGAGCTGAGATCATGCCACTGTACTCCAGCCTGGGTGACAGAGTGAGACTCCATCTTAAAAAAAAAGTACTATAAGTCTCTAAGAATATTTTCTGAGCACCTACCGTGTACAAAGCAGTACGCTATACACAGTGGGTGGGAGGAGGAACAAAGATGAATTGATGTTGCTCTATTGTGAACTCTACACTGCACTAGGGAAGAGACGGTCATATAGTACAAGACCAAACACCATAGCTACCTTATTTATCTTCTGTATTCCTCATGATTGGCACTGTGCCTGATATATAGTAGATACTCAATTAAATGACATAAAGGAGATATAAAATGCTCTGTGGGCATTGAGAGAAGAAAGGATTCATCTGATGGAGAGGCATCAGGAATGGTCTGTAGGTGTTATATCCGAGTTGATTTTTTTTTTTTTTTTTTGAGACAGAGTCTTACTCTGTCACCCAGGCTGGAGTACAGTGATGTGATCCCGGCTCACTGAAACTTTCTCCTCCCAGGTTTAAGCGATTCCTGTGCCTCAGCCTACCGAGTAGCTGGGATTACAGGCACACACCACCACACCTGGCTAATTTTTGTATTTTTAGTAGAAGTGGGGTTTCACCATGTTAACCAGGCTGGTCTCGAACTCCTGACCTCAGGTGATCCGCCCGCCCCAGCCTCCCAAAGTGCTGGGATTACAGGTGTGAGCCACCGCAAATGGCCTGAGTTGACTTTTAAAAGGTGGTTTTAACTCCAGTGACTGACTCCTCAACACCATCCTATGATGTGATGGAAAAATCTTAAGCCAACCTTGAAGGTTCTCCAAGCTCTGGTCCCAATATGTCCTTCAATCTTTATCGTTCCCTTACCCAGAACTAAGCTATAGCCAACCACTCTGGTTGCTGTACCTCAGATATTATTCACAATTGTTTTCCTCCATGCCTCCATTCATGCTGTTCTTCATACTGAAATATCCTCCAATCTCAACATTATCCAATCCCAATATCCTTCAAGGCCCGCTTCAAATTTCTTACTTTATAAAGAAGGGCTTATGAAACCTTTGTTTGTTTGTTTGTTTTTTGAAACAAGGTCTCACTCTGCAGCACAGGCTGGAGTGCAGTGGCACAATCTTAGCTGGGATTATAGGCACGCACCACCACACGCCCAGCTAATTTTTGTATTTTTAGTAAAGACAGGGTTTCACCATGTAGGACAGGCTGGTCTTAAACTCCTGACTTCAGGTGATCCACCTGCCTCAGCCTCCCAAAGTGCTGGGATTACAGGCGTGAGCCACAGTGCCCGGCCTATGAAGCCTTTCTTGATCCCTCCAATAGTAGGTGCTCTCTCCTGTCTTTGAAACCCCACAAAGACTTGTTGGCTTTTCTCTCATGGTACTCATACCATTTGTCCCTGCATTACAGTTGGGTCATATCTTTTTCTCAAGATAATAATCTTTGACATCAGAAACTATAATATTCATCTATATTGCCAAATAAATGGAAGGTATTCAGTAGATTATTCTGACAGGACAAATACAAATACAATCTAGGACATAGAACTGAATGAACGATGGTGCAAAGTTAGGAATATTTGTGGCTTATGCCTAAAATGGGGAATATTCCAGTTTGACTTTTGAACATAAGGTTTAGTTGGTAGAATCAGAGGGGTTAAGCTTGGAAGGTAGGTTGGAGTCAGATTACACAGAGCCTTGAGTGCCAAGGTAATAAACAGCATAGATTCGGTTCTCCATGAGAGTCACTGATAGTTTTAGGCACTGGAGAGTAACACAGGATCTGAGGTATGGAAGGTCAAACCAAAAGTCTCCTAGGAACTTGGTTGGAGATAAGTCCATCCTAGACAGAAAAACCAACTCTTAAGTGTGCTGACAAAATTAAGTGCATGACTCTGTAGATCTGTGAGTCCCGGAAAAGTCACCAAGTTAAATACTGTTTTGCAGGCTTCCTGGCAACCAGGCATTTACGTTCCCACTTCAGTAAAAGGATACAGACTCACACCAAAGCAGTTATTACTAAATTTCCAAACTGGTGAAAAAGAGAAGATTCTATATGCTTCCAGAAAAGGGAGAGAGAAGCAAAGAAGTACATCATACAAAAAAAAATGTGTGTGTGTGTGTGTGTGTGTACACATATATTTGCATACATACAGATTGAGTATCCCTTAACAGAAATGCTTGGGACCAGGAGTTTTTCAGATTTTGGATTTTTTAAAATTTGGAACACCTGAATTATACCATTGAGAATCCCAAATATGAAATTCTGAAATCCAAAATATTCCAATAAGCACTTTCTTTGAACATCATGTTGGTGCTCAAAAAGTTTTGGATTTGGGGGCATTTCAGATTTCAAATTTTTCAGATTTAGGATGCTCAATCTGTATATATATACATAAATTACAGGGTGTGTATGTATCTAAGTGTATGTATTTATATACATGTGTACATGTATGTGTGTATATATGTATGTATACATGTGCATGTGTATATGTGTATATGCATATATGCATTATGTAGATGTATATGTGTGTGCATATGTACATGCCCATATGTATGCATAAATGTGTACGTGTGTATATATGTATGTGTGTACATATGTGTATGCATGTGCACATATGTATATGTGTATATATTGTGTGTATATGTGTGTATGAACATATATGTATGTATACTATATTAGTCCATTCTCATACTGCTATAAAGAAACACCCGAGACTGGACAATTTATAAAGGAAAGAGGTTTAATTTACTCACAGTTCTGCATTGCTTGGGAGACCTCAGGAAACTTACAATCATGGCAGAAGGCAAAGGAGAAACAGGCACTTTCTTCACAGGGTGGCAGGATGGAGTGTATGCCAGCAGGGGAAATGCCAAATGCTTATAAAACTATCAGATCTCATGAGACTCACTCACTGTCATGAAAACAGCATGGGGGAACTGCCCCATGATCCAGTTACCCCCACCTGGCCCCGCCCTTGACACGTGGGGATTATGGGGATTACAATTCAAGATGAGATTTTGGGTAGGGACACAGCCAAACCATATCAGCATATATGTGTGTATATATGCATGTATATATGTATATGTGTGTGTATGTATGTATATATGTATATGTGTATGCATGTGTTTATATATGTATATGTGTGTATAACTTGTTGTTTTCCCTGGAGTAGCATCACATATTCTTAAATGAATTTCTACTACAGACGGCCAGGTGCAGTGGCTCACGTCTATAATCCCAGCACTTTGGGAAGCAGAGGCAGGTGGATCACAAGGTTAGGAGTTTGAGACCAGCCTAGCCAATACGGTGAAACTCTGTCTCTACTAAAAACATAGAAATTAGTCAGGTGTAGTGGTGGGCACCTGTAGTCCCAGCTACTTAGGAGGCTGAGGCAGGAGAATCGCTTAAACCCGGGAGGTGAAGGTTGCAGTGAGCCAAGACCGCGCCACTGCACTCCAGCCTGGGCAATAGAGTGAGACTCCATCTCAAACAAAACAAACAAAAAAAATTCTACTACAGATTTCTAACAATAACATAAACAGTGCAGAGTAGTGTTATACGTAACGTCCTATCTGTAACTTAGTTTTGAGGTTTATCAAATTTTCATGCTCACAGCTCTAGTTCATTTTCATCATTGCATAGTATTGCACTGAATTTATATATTACACTTCATGTAATCATTTTTCTGTTATTGGACATTTCAGTTACTTTAAAAGCTTTACGTATGATGAACAATGCTATAATGAACAATCCATGTATATATGTGAGATTTCATGCAGTTATAAATCTAGTAGTGGAATTATTAAGTATGAATTCACATTTACTAGACATTGCCAAACCAGTATCTAAAGTGGTTGTACCACAGTCAACATTTAAAACACTTCAACATTTTAAAAACTTTTTTTAAAGTTTTAAACATTTTAAAAACTTTTTTTAAAGTTTTAAACATTTAAAAAACTTTAACACACATGTATATATAATTCCTATATGTCTAAATAACATATATTGTTACACAAACACACACACATATATCATGATTCCCTCTGGAGTATCAGGGAGGGAAATGGGATCGGTCAGGGAGGGGCCATATAGATTTTCAATTATACATGTAATATTTTATGCCTTAAGCTATGTGATAGGTACATAAAAGCTCATTATATTATCTATTTTTTGTGTGTGTATGTAATGGAAATCTTTCTAGATGCTTCTGTTAAAATTTGGGAAATTAAACTCAACATTTAACTTCGCTTCATCTTAACGCACAACTAGATCATAATCCCTTATCCAACCCTTCAGAGATAAACGTGTTAGAGAATTCAGAAGCCACCACACCCGGCCAGGCTTGTTTCTTTTTTGTATCTGCTAAATGCTCAGGCCTTCCACAGAGCAAATGCAAAGGAAATCAGGGGGTGTCAAAGTGTTTTCAAGGGGAGCTCCACCATCACTTTTCAGTGGTAAGCTGTAACTCAGCTTTGGAGTAAGACCACAGCAAACAAAGGGAGAAAGGCGAAAGCCCAGCTTACCATAGAAGAGGAATGCTTTGGTCATGTGATGACGCAGGTAGGTCCGGTTGATGGTGAAGAAACAAGCATCTGCTCCACATTGGCCTAACCTCCCAGTTTCCCCTGTCAGCGGGGACCACCAGAGCATAATGGGGTAGCTGTCCAATTCCCATTTTCTTTTCCTGTGGAAAGTTAATCTTTCTTTCTTAAGAAATGAATTAAGGTGCATAGGTGCTTCCTCCATTTTTGTATGTCCATCTTGCAAACTAGAACTTTTAAACTCCTTCCTTTCAAACTTCCCCAGCTCAACCATGACCTAAAAGAGAAGACAAGTATTACCAGAGTCAAACTGTTTGGTTCCCTTTTGCACATCTCTCATTTATTTTGATGATTTAGCCCCTGACTCGTTTTCAATTGCTGCTGTAACAAATTACCACAAACAGTAATTTAAAACAACACAAATTAAAGCTAGGTGCTCTGGCTTACACTTGTAATCTCAGCACATCGGAGGGGGGCAAGGTGGGAGGATCACTTGAGGCCAGGAGATTGAGACCAGCCTGGCCAACATGGTGAAACTCCGACTCTACTAAAAACTACAAAAAAAAAAAAACTAGCCGGGTGAGGTGGGGGCGTGCCTGTAGTCCCAGCTACTCCAGAGGCTGAGGCAGGAGAATGGCGTAAACCCGGGAGACAGAGCTTGCAGTGAGCTGAGATCAGGCCACTGCACTCCAGCCTGGGCGACACAGCGAGACTCCGTCAAAAAAAAAAAAAAAAAAAAAGTACAAAAATCAGTCAGGCGTGGTGGCGGCGCACGCCTGTAATCCCAGCTACCCAGGAGGCTGAGTCAGGAGAATCGAATCACTTGAACTTGGGAGGCAGAGGTTGCAGTGAGCCAAAATCATGCCACTGCACTCAAGCCTCAGCAACAGAGCAAAGCTCCATGTCGAAAAAAGAAAAAAAAAAAATCGGCCTGGCATGGTGATGCATGCCTGTAGTCCCAGATACTCAGGAGGCTGAGGCAGGAGGATTGCTTAAGCCCAGAAGTTAGAGGTTGTAGTGAACTATGATTGCACCATTGCACTCCAGCCTGGGCAACAGAGCAAGACCTTGTCTCAAAAACCAATCAATCAATCAATCACGAATTTGTTACTGCACAGTTCTGAAGTCAGAAGTCTGCAATGGGTCTCACTGGGCTGAGACCCAGGGGTCAGCAGGGCTGAATTCTCCCTGAAGACTCTAGGAGAGAAGTCTCTTTCTTGCTTTTCTTTTAGAGCCACCCCCATTCTTGACTCATGGCCTCCTTCCTCCTCTTCAAAGCCAGCAACACTGCATCTCTCTGACTCTTCTAATGTCACCTCTTCTCTCTGACCACGTCAGGAAAGGCTCTCCATCTTTAAGAACTCATGTGATTACATGGGGCCCACATGAATAATTTGGAATAATCCCCCCACCTCAAAGTGGGTCACATTGATCCCATCTGCAAAGTCCCTTTTGCCACCTAAAGTAACATATTCACAGGTTTCAGGGATCAGGGAATGGACACAGCCTCCAAATATCAACCAACAAGAATGGCCAACGATTCTACTAAACACTTACAACAAATACATTTCCCCTCCATTTCAAAAGTCTATAGGATATCCAGAAATAGTTTTGCCTCTTTTTTTTTTTTTTTTTTTTTTTTTGGAGACGGAATCTCGCACTGACACCTGGGCTGGAGTGCAGCGGCAGGATCTCAACTCATTGCAACCTCTGCCTCCCAGGTTCAAGCAATTCTCCTGCCTCAGCCTCCCAAGTAGCTGGGATTACAGGTGCCAGCCATCACACCCGGGTAACTTTTTGTATTTTTAGTAGAGACGGGTTTTCACTATGTTGGCCAGGCTGGCCTCAACCTCCTGATCTCGTGATCTGCCTGCCTCAGCCTCCCAAAGTGCTAGGATTACAGGCTTGAGCCATCGCACCCGGCCAGTTTTGCCTCTTAATGAAACCTATGACAGGATAATTACCTGACTACTACTAAAGAATGTACTCTAGGGAAAATGAGTTATAAATTACCAACCGGTTTCTTTTTTATTACAATTAAAGTAGTCATAACATGGGTTTTATGTTTCTAGTAATACTCACTAGAGCATTGAGATGGTGAAATAATACCTAATGTCAAAATTCCCTAGAGTCTATTCCACTCACTCCCACTTACGACCACATTTTAAAATTTATTCCAGGATAGTCTAAGTCTGGGTCACTGGACAGCTTGGACATCAGTAACAGTCATCTGGAGGGCAGGGTGAGTGTAGCAGAAACTCCAGAAGTGCTGCCTTTTCATCAAATTTTAAGATTTGGTATTGTGCTGAGCACAGTGGCTTGCACCTATAGCCCCAGTTACTCAGGAGGCTGAGACCAGAGGATCGCTTGAGTCCAGGAGTTCAAGGCTGCAGTGCGGTATGATTGCACCACTGTACTGCAGCCTGAGCAACAAAGGGAGGCTCCATACCAAAAAAAAAACAAGATTTGCTATTAATATGATCATTGATATGGCACTAATTGTAGACATACACTGGAGAAAGGGTTGATCTGCTCCATATGTAACTGAAAGTTTAGCAGTCAGACCATGAAACAAATAAAGCAAAGCAGTTAAAGTAAGGCACATTTACATTTCTGTGTGTTAACTGCTCCACCAGTCGGCCACGGAGGCCACTCCCTGTGCAGCCCTCGGGTCCTGCTTTTAGCAGCCAAGAGTGGTACCTCTTTTATGTGCTCGCTGCTCCTGGTGTTAGATAAAGGCCACTGATCATCGATGCATTGCATGGAGTCTGTAACTCCCTGGGGAGGGCCCGTGACTTTCATTAGATTCTCAAAGGTATCCAAGGCCAAAAAAAAAAAAAAAAAAAACCACTGAGTGAAAGCCAAGTAGCACTCCAGAAGGAGTAAGAAATTATATTGGCTTTAAAAAGTCATGGATCACCTGAGATGCCAAAGTCAACACTAGAACAGCAGAGCCATCACTGAAAACTAAAGTCTGCCTGTTGCCAATAGCTCTCTCAGCATTTTTATGATGGAACAATATGGCTCTCCCCAGTAGTTTGATCCACGGGAGATGACTTGTAGCCACAAACTATCTTTTCATCTGACCTTCTTCCCCTGAAAATGTACAGCCAGTCACTTAAAAGAAAGGCTTTTAGAAAGCCATAGGCTTTCTAAAGGTAAAATTTATTCCACATTTCAAATCAATATCTACTATGTGAGTTATAAGTTCATTTCCAAATAATACAGATGCTTTTAAGGAGAGATTCTTCTTCTGCCAAACAACCTTTTTTTTTTTTTTTTTTTTTTTTGTGACAGAGTCCCTCTCTCTCTGTCGCCCAGGCTAGAGTACAATGGCGCGATCTCAGCCTACTGCATCCTCCTCTTCCTGGGTTCAAGTGATTCTCCTGCCTCAGCCTCTGGAGTAGCTGGGATTACAAATGTGAGCCACCACGCCCTGCTAACTTTTGTGTATTTTTAGTAGACAGGGTTTCATCATGTTGGCCCAAACAGCTTTTTAAAAGACATTACCTTTGGATATCACTACCAGATTGTAGGAAATATGGCAGAATAAAGGAATGCATTAAATAAAACCATAATCAGCCAATCCCACACTCCAGAAAAGTCAAAAGGACAAATGACCCAGTTTTAACAAGTCCATGACATGGAATAAAAGGTGGGGCAGAAAAGCCTTTTTTTTTGAGACTTAGTTTCACTCTTGTTGTCCTGGCTGGAGTACAACGGCACGATCTCCGCTCACTGCAACCTCTGCCTCCTGGGTTTAAGCGATTCTCCTGCCTCAGCCTCCCAAGTAACTGGGATTACAGGCATGCACCACCACGCCCAGCTAATTTTTTTGTATTTTTAGTAGAGACGGGGTTTTACCATGTTGGCCAGGATGGTCTAGATCTCTTGAACTCATGATCCACCCACCTCGGCCTCCCAAAGTGCTGAGATTACAGGTGTGAGCCACCATGACTGGCCAAACCTTTCAATAGTGAAAAAAACAAAAACATAAAACTTGAGACTCACCAACCAAATGCAATGTATAGGTTTGTTTATTCCAAATTCAAACCAACTCGGGCCAGACATGGTGGCTCACACCTGTACTCCCAGCACTTTGGGAGGCCCGGGTGGATGGATCACCTGAGGTCAGGAGTTCGAGACCAGCCTGGCCAATATAGTGAAACCTCATCTCTTCTAAAAAATACAAAAAATTAGCTGGGCATGGTGGGATGCCCCATCTCTCTTAAAAATACAAAAATGAGCTGGGCATGGTGGTGCACACCTGTAATTTCAGCTACTTGGGAGGATGAGGCAGGAGGATCATCTGAACCTAGGAGGTGGAGGTTGCAGTGAGCCAAGAACGTGCCACTGTACTCCAGCCTGGGCAACAGAGCAAGACTCTGTCTCAAAAAGAAACCCAACTCATTATGAAAATTCTTTTTTTTTTTGAGACAACTGGGAAAATTTAACATGGCCTATCATACGGAGAATATTCAGTAACTGTTAATTTTGTTGGGTGTGATAGTAGCAATATGGTTACATTAAATTTTTCAATGTTCCTAGCTGCAAAGTGAGAGAATCATATTAACATATATCCAGGTGAAATGCTATTATGTCCTGGATTTGCTTTAAAATACTCCAATATATATTCCTAAACTATTTATGCAACTAAAAAGTAAAGTTAAAAAATAAATATACATATATACCCGAAGAATTTGCAGACAGTTTATACAAAATATAGTTAAATGTGAATGGAAAACAATGTCTAAGTTTTCCTCCAGAGAACTATGTTTTAGCTTAAGTGTAGCTAACTATAATATTTTGATGTTTAGATTAATATTAATTAAATAATTTATGTTATAGAATCTTCTATGGGCTAAATTGTATACCCCCAAAAAATTCATATGTTGAAGTCCTTACTCCCAGTACCTTATAACGTGACAATATTTGGAGACAGGGTCTTCAAAGAGGTAACTGAGTTAAAACAGGTGGGCCCTAATCCAGTATGACTGGTGTCCTTACAAAAAGGGGAAATTTTGACACACACAATTACAGAGAGAATGCAGTGTAAAGACACAGGGAGAAAACAGCCATCTATAAGCCAAGGAGAGAGGCCTCAGAAGACAGAATCCGCTGACACCTTGATCTTGGACTTCCCAGTCTCTGAAACTGTAAACAAAAAACTAATTTTGGTTGTGGAAGCAAGTCACTCCATCTGCAGCATTTTGTTACAGCAGTGATAGCAAACTAACATAGGATCCATAACATGATTTTTTTCTATTTATCCTATCTTTACCCTACTCATGCGGCAAAGTATTTCATTTGCCTAAAAACAGGAATGGAGGCCATGCGTGGTATGGCTCACGCCTGTAATCTCAACACTTTGGGAGGCCAAGGCAGGTGAATCACTTGAGGTCAGGATTTCGAGACCAGCCTGGCCAACATGGTAAAACCCTGTCTCTACTAAAAATACAAAAATTAGCCAGAAGTGATGGCAGGCACCCGTAATCCCAGTTACTCAGGAGGCTGAGGCAGAAGAATCACCTGAACCCGGGAGGCAGAGGTTGCAGTGAGCCCAGATGGCACCACTGTACTCCAGTCTGGCAACAGAGCAAGACCCCGTCTAAAAAAAAAAAAAAAAAAAACCTTCCCACAGAAAGCAGCAGAAACTGAAAATGCCAGGCCTTCTGTGTAGTAGGTCCTAGATACCTACAGCACAAACAAGCAGGAAGCACATGTTGCCTCTCACTAGAATCCCAGTCTGGCAGAAGGCGGCAGTACCAGTCCCACAACCGTAACTATTCACATCCACAAATAACCTTTAAAGGTTGTGTGGAGATCCGGGCGTGGTGACTCACGCCAGTAAACCCAGCACTTTGGAAGGACAATGCAGATGGATCACCAGAGGTCAGGAGTCTGAGACCAGCCCGGCCACCATGGCAAAACCCCATCTCTACTAAAAATACAAAAATTAGCTGGACATGGTGGCAGGCACCTGTAATCCCAGCTACTCAGGAGGCTGAGGCAGGAGAATTGCTTGAACCCGGGAGGTGGAGGTTGCAGTGAGCCGAGATAATGCCATTGCACTCTAGCGTGGGCAACAAAAGCAAAACTCTATCTCAAAAAAAAAAGTCCTGTGGAAGCCAGGCACAGTGGCTCACACTTGCAATCTCAGTGCTTTGAGAAGCCAGGTAGGTGGATCGCTTGAGCTCAGGAGTTCAAGACCAGCCTGAGCAACATGGTGAAACCCCATCTCTACAAAAAAATAGAAAACTTAGCCATGAGTAGTAGTACACACCTATAGTCTCAGCTACTCAGGAGGCTGCATTGGGAGGATTGCTTGAGCCTGGGAGGTGGAGGTTGCAGCGAGCCGAGATCGTACCACTGCACTCCAGCCTGGGTGACAGAGTGAAACCCTGTCTCAAAAAAAAAAAAAGTTCTGTAGATTTTGAAATGGACAGCTGGCACCTGAATGGGTGCAAAATCTATCTGAGCTAATATCTATACTTTTACTGTCACTGCCCAATTTTTATTTCAATTTGAAATCAGTGAAGGGGCTGGGAACGGTGGCTCACACCTGTAATCCCAGCATTTTGTGAGGCCAAGGTGTGCAAACTGCTTGAGCCCAGGAGTTCAAGACCAGCCTGGTCAATGTGGTGAAACCCCGTCTCTACAAAAAAATACCAAAATTAGGCCGGGTGTGGTGGCTCACACCTATAATCCCAGCACTTTGGGAGGCCAGGTCAGGCGGATCACATGAGGTCAGGAGTTCAAGACCAGCCTGGCCAACATGGTGAAACCTCATTTCTACTAAAAATGCAAAATTAGCTAAGTGGCGGGAGCCTGTAATCCCAGCTACTTGGGAGGCTGAGGCAGGAAATTGCTTGACCTGGGAAGCAGAGGTAGTAGTTAGCCAAGATCGCGCCACTGCACTCCAGCCTGGGCGACAGAGTGAGACTCCATCTCAAAAAAATAAATTTATTTAAAAAAATAAAAATTAGCCAGGCACCGTGGCACAAGCCTGTGGTCCCAGCTACTGAAGATGCTGAGGTGGGAGGATTGCCTGAGCCCAGGGAGGTTGACGCTGCAGCGAGCTGAGACTGTGCCACTGCGCTCCAGGCTGGCTCACAAAATGAGATCCTGTCTCAAAAAATAATAAATAAATAAATAAAGGAATAAACAGAAATCAGTGAATGAAGTTCGGAATAACTGACTAAGGGATACAGGCAGGAGAACTAAGCACACGTTTCAGTTCATTCATCCATATACAGTCCTTGGTCTAGAAGCACATGTCAAGATTTACTTATAATATAGATGTCTGTGTTCTACACTTACTACAAGATGCAGACTATCTTGTTCTCAGAATAGTACTTGCTTCTCCAAGAACGCAGTCTTTCGGGCCGGGCGCGGTGGTTCAAGCCTGTAATCCCAGCACTTTGGGAGGCTGAGACGGGCGGATCACGAGGTCAGGAGATCGAGTCCATCCTGGCTAACACGGTGAAACCCCGTCTCTACTAAAAAATACAAAAAAATAGCCAGGCGAGGTGGTGGGCGCCTGTAGTCCCAGCTACTCGGGAGGCTGAGGCAGGAGAATGGCGTGAACCTGGGAGGCGGAGCTTGCAGTGAGCTGAGATCCGGCCACTGCACTCCAGCCCCGGCGACAGAGCGAGACTCCGTCTCAAAAAAAAAATAAAAAATAAAAAAAGAACGCAGTCTTTCAAAAGTGATAACAATAGGAGACTCTGAGGAAGCCATCCAATTTTGACCCAGGAAGACAGACTGAGCTTTACTTTCTGTTTCTCTACAACCAGGAGCTTATGATAATCTCAAACTCACCTTCTATCTCAATGACTTTTCTCCTGACTGACATGTCCATTCACTAAACCTCAGTTTCACCTGTTTAAAAAAGGGGGGCAGGGAGTGAACTTGAAGGGACTCCCTGCCAGAGGTTTTTTACTGGGAGGAAAACTGGGAGGTGTTTTCCTCCCAGTAGAAAACCTCTGATCCTGGCCGAGCACAGTGGCTCATGCCTGTAATCCTAGCACTTTGGGAGGCCAAGGCAGGCAGATCATTTGAGATCCGGAGTTCCAGACCAGCATGGCCAACATGTTGAAACCACATCTCTATTAACAATATAAAAAATTTAGCTGGGCATGGTAGTGGGCGCCTGTAATCCCAACTACTCGGGAGGTTGAGGCACGAGAATTGCTTGAACCCTGGAGGCAGAGGGTACAGTGAGCAGAGACCGTACCACTGCACTCCAGCTTGGGCAACAGAGTGGAACTGTGTCCAAAGAAAAGGAAGGAAGGAAGGAAGGAAGGAAGGAAGGAAGGAAGGAAGGAAGGAAGGAAGGAAGGAAGGGAGGGAGGGAGGGAGGGAGGGAGGGAGGGAGGGAGGGAGGGAAGGAGGGAAGGAAGGAGAAAGAGAGAGAGAGAAAGAGAGAGAGAGAGAGAGACAGAAAGAAAGAGAGACAGAAAGAAAGAAAGAAAGAAAGAAAGAAAGAAAGAAAGAAAGAAAGAAAGAAAGAAAGAAAGAAAGAAAGAAAGAAAGAAAGACCCCTGATCCTGAACACCCCTGATTAACAAAAAGTGAAATACTTGAAGTTTTGAGAAAATAGGGGGTAGGGGGACATGGCAAAGGCCCTGCTATCAACACTACACAACCCACATTCTTGGTACCTGGAGTGTGACAAGCAGAAAGACGGTGGCTGTGATGCACAGGCAAGATGCCAAAAGCTTCCTCCTCTGAATCCGCACCATGCTGCCTTGCCCTAGGTGACTGACAGAGGGCTAACCTGGTTACCAGGTGTTCTCTCGTCAGCCCAGAGCCCGAGACAACTTCACATGGAAGAACCATCTGGGCGCCAATTTCCTGCACTGCCATTCCTGCTGGGACCTGGTCTCCATGAAGGACTGAGATCCGAGGTTGCAAGAGGGCCTGGCTTGGCATCAAGAGGGAGCAGCATGCAGTCTTCTTAGGCTATCACCAGAGCAGCTGGAGATTTATCCACATAAGAAGGCATCAAAAAATTCTGCAACAAAAGATCATCTATTAGCCATAGTGCAGATTTAATAAATGTAGTCTTGCAGGCGAGTGATCATGAAAAAACATAGAACATTTTAAACTAAAAGGAAGCACTGAGATCATGTAGTCCTAGTACCTCACCCATAAGTAAGGAAATCAAGGCTGGGCGTGATGGCTCACTCCTGTAATCCCAGCACTTTGGGAGGCCAGAGCCGGTGGATCATTTGAGGTCAGGAGTTTGAGACCAGTCTGGCCAACATGGCAAAACCCCGTCTCTACTAAGAATACCAAAATTAGCCAGGTGTGGTGGCACACACCTGTATTCACAGCTACTCAGGAGGCTGCGGCAGGAGAGTCACTTGAACCTGGGAGGTGGAGGTTGCAGTGAGTAGCCTGGGCAACAGAGAAAGGAAAGGAAAGGAAAAGAAGGGAAAGGAAGGGAAAGGAAGGGGAGGGAAAGGGAGGGAAGGGGAGTGGGGGAGGGGAGGAGGGGAGGGGAGGGGAGGGAAGGGGAGGGGAGGGGAGGAAGGAGGAGGAGGGAGGGGAGGGCAGGGGAGGAGGGAGGGGAGGAGGGAAGGGGGAGGAGGGGGAGGGGAGCCAGAGAGGTGAATTGACTTACTCATGGCCACCCAGCCCATCAGAGGAGAGTGACAAATCTACAACCAGATCCCAAATCTACAACCAGATCCCAAATCCAAAATTCTGCTTCCACTTAATGCTCTCTGCCATCAGAAGACTGAATTCCAAGACTGTTATATGAAGTCACTCCCTTCTATCTAAGTTTCAAAGGAGTTTAGAAATGGAATAAAAATTACCAGGACTATCCACCCACTCCCATAAAATTTAGGAAGAAAATAAAAGATTCAGGCTTTAATCAAAAATGGATAATGATCATGTGGCCCCAATGCCCACGAAGGAAACCAACTTTTGCCACAGCATAAGGAATTCTGAATATGATTTGTCTTTTACAGCAAGTGACTAAAGCAGTGGGCTGTTGGAGCAATATTATTCTTTGGAAGTTTTCAAATAAAATTTTCATCTATCTAAAATAAATGATCTTTTCAAAAAAGTTGTAAAAATGAACTAAATGAGGGCCAGGTACAGTGGCTCATACCTGTAATCCCAGCACTTTGGGAGGCCGAGGCAGGAGGATGGCTTGTGCCCAGGAGTTTGAGACCAGCCTGGGCAACATAGTGAGACCCTGTCTGCATAGAAAATTTTACAAATTAGCTGGGCATGGGGATGTGCACCTATAGTCCCAGCTCCTCAGGAAGCTGAAGCAGGAGGACTGCTTGAGCCCAGGAGGTCAAGGCTGCAGTAAGCCGTGATTGCACCACTGCACTCTAGTGTAGGCAACAGAGCAAGACTCTATCTCAAAAAAAAAAAAAAGGTAAAAAAAAAAGATTGAAAAAAATGCCCCCATAGAATGCCCTTTATCCCTATGATATTCTATGAACTTCAATGTCCTGGGCAAATGGCACTGTGTAGTTCAGAGTGGAGGAAGGGTCAACTTTCCAGAGGAAGGGCAATGTTGCTGCACAGTAATTCACAGATGTGAATCTAAGTCAGACCTACATCATGCCCCTGGCATACAGAGTTAAAGATATAATTAGATATAATTAGACCTATAAAGATAATATAGAACCCTGGTTAAAAACTTTAGTCTTAAAGGTGTACTCCCAGCCAGGCGCAGTGGCTCACACCTGTAATCCCAGCACTTGGGGAAACCGAAGCGGGTGGATCACTTAAGGTGAGGAGTTCGAGACCAGCATGGTCAAGATGGTGAAACCCCATCTCTACAAAAAATACAAAAATTAGCTGGGCGCAGTGGCGGGTGCCTGTAATCCCAGCCACTCAGGAGGCTGAGGCCAGAGAATCACTTGAAGCCGGGAGGCAGAGATTGCAGTGAGCCAAGATCGTGCCACTGCACTCCAGCCTGGGCGACAGAGCCAGACTCCATCTCAAAAAAAAAAAAAAAAAAGGTGGGTTCCCCTCTCATGAGTTTACCTTGATTTACTTTTTTCTGAGACAGGGTCTTGCTCTGTCACTCAGGCTAAAGTGCAGTACTGTGATCATGGCTCACTGTAGCCTCCAACTCCCAGACTCAAGCAATCCTCCCACCTCAGCCTCCCGAGTAGCTGGGACTAATGGCATGTGCCACAATACCCAGCTGATTTTTGTTTGTTTGTTTGTAGAGACGAGGTCTCACCATGTTGCCCAAGCTGGTCTTGGACTCCTGGGCTCAAGTGATCCTCCTATCTTGGCCTCCCAAAGTTCTGGGATTACAGGTGTGAGCCATCTTGACCGGCCTTACTTTTAAATCCAGGATATTTTTTTTTCCTTCAACCACAAAATAACACTGGGACTCAGAAATCACCAAAAGTGCATTTTTCTTCTTTCATCCATGAAATTCCCAAAACCCAGTGACTAAGAGAAGGTCTCAAGATAGCCTTCCAGGATTCAAATCCCAATTCCTCAGCTGGCTTAACCTAACCTCTCCATAACTCACTTTCCAAAAGTAGATCCTCATGAGGCCTAATCAGAGTTGTGAGAATTTTATGAGCTATGATTGGTAAAACACTTATTTCAGACTCTGACACATACTAAATACCCAATAAATGTTTGTTATCCTTACATTTAAATATTATTTTATTATCCCTTTAGGTGGAAAATGAAGCATATAAAATAGATTGCTACCCCATCAACTGGAACTTTAAAAAGAAAAATGCTCACTTTTCCAAAGAAAAGGAGATCGCTAATATTTGCTGAGTAACCTATCATGGGCAAGGCCTTTCCTAAGTACTTAGCACACAGGCAGGCGCTAATTCAATTCTCCCAACAACTCCATTCTCATTTTCAAATATAAGAAAACTGAATCTGAATGAAGTAAAGTAACTTGCCCAAGACTCTAACTTTGACAAGTATTACAATCTAAAGTGCACACCTTCTTTTATATTTTTTAGCATTAATACCATAAAATTCCTTGGCTGTGCACAGTGGCTCATGCAGGTAATCCCAAAACCTTGGGAAGTCAAGGCAGGAGGACCAGCCTAGGCAACACAGTGAGACCCCATCTCTACAAAAAATAAATTAACCAGGCATGGTGGTGGGTGTCTGTAGTCCTAGCTACTTGGGAGGCTGAAGCAGGAAGATTGCTTCAGCCCAGGAGATTGAGGCTGCAGTGAGCCTTGATCGTGCCACTGCACTTAGCTTGGGTGACAGAGCCAGGCCCAGTCTCAAAAAATAAAAAATAATTTTAAAAAAAAGAAATACTATAAAATTACCACCAGACAATACCAATCCTCACAGGTTACCTGCCACAGAAAACATATATAGTACAGTTGTCAGCTGCTATATCAGAGAAAAAAGGAATAAAAATCTCTAAGAACCTGTAAAGTACCTCTGCTCTTACTTAGTAGATGCTTGTAGCTATTAACTATATACAATATGGAGCTAGCACTTTGGGTCCCAATCCTGGTTCTATTACTTAATATAAATTTAGACAAGTTACTGAATCTTTCTAAGTCTCAGCTTCTTCACAGTAAATAATAAATGTTAACTATCACTATTTCTTTCCCTTGCATAACAGAAAGATTACCAAATTTTCATTTAATGTGCAGAAGCAATTTATTATAGTTATCATTAATGTAACCCAGATTATGTAGTAAAATGATATCACTTACTTAAATGGGAATAAAGCTATAATGTTTTCAAAAAATGTTTAGCTATATCACTCTACTCAATCTTATTTATAACCACTTGGAAAAGTAGGCAAGGTAGGTATTATTATTCCCAGTTCCCAAGGAAGCTAAGCCTCCTCAAGTTTAAGTGATTTGCCCAAGGTCATATACACACACACACACACACACACACACACATATACACACATATATAGAGAGAGTTGTTGTTGTTGTTTTCGTTGTTGTTCTGAGACAGGGTCTCGCTCTGTTGCCCAGGCTGGAGTACAGTGGTGCGATCTTGGCTCACTGCAACCTCCGCCTCCTGGGTTCAAGCGATTCTCCTGCCTCATCCTCCTGAGTAGCTGGGACTACTACAGGTGCGTGCCACCACACCCAGCTAATTTTTCTATTTGTAGTAGAGACAGGGTTTCACAATGTTGGCCAGGCCGGTCTCGAACTCCTGAATTATCTTGAACACCTCAAATGATCCACCCGCCTCAGCCTCCCAAAGTGCTGGGATTACACGTATGAGCCACTGTACCCAGCCACAAGATCATATTTTTTAAAGACAGAAGTGAGTCTAGGTATCAGCTCACCCAACTCAAAGATGTGTGGAAAGCAAACAAAAGAAGGAACATAATGACAGCTTGTGAAAAGTACAAAAAGAATCAGGAATAAAGGAAAACAAAAGATACAATTTGAGGACAGAGTTTGGGATATTTTTATAGCTACTGTAGAGCTCAGGTCTATCCTAGGACCTTTTCGGGACCTTCGCATAGCTTTATGAACTATGACAGAAGAATTTAAGATTATGAATTTCCTTATATTTAAAGAATATCAACCTAGGCTATCTTCCCAAAGCCAGAAGTGTAGTAGGTCTCAGGGGCCAATCTATGGTTAAATAACGACCACTAAAGAACAGAGTCCGCCAGGTGTGGTGGCTCTGGGAGGCTGAGGCAGGAAGATCCCTTGAGCTCAGGGGTTCGAGACCAGCCTAGGCAACAAAGCAAGACTCTGTCTCTACAAAAAAAAATTTTTTTTTAATTTAAAAATTAGCTGGGCATGGTGGTGCATGTCTGTGGTCCCAGCTACCTGGGAGGCTAAAGCAGGAGAATCATTTGAGCCTGAGTTCAAGGCTGCACTGAGCCATGATTATGCCACTGCACTCCAGCCTGGGTAGCAGAGTGAGACACTGTCTCAAAAAAAAAAAAAAACCAAAAGAAGGAAAGGAAAGGGAAAGGTGAAGGGAAGGGAAAAGGAAAGGGTAGAGAAAAGAAGGGCAGGGAAGGGAAAAGAAGGGCAGGGCAGGGCAGGGCCCAGCCAGGGT